CTGTGGTTTTTGAGTGTATCTGTTTACACTTGTAAAAGATGTACTTTCTTCTTATTGTCATCGAAGCTATGAACTAATGGTTTACACAGTATAATTCATTATTCCTATTTCACTATTATCACAATTCATTTGTTTAATATACTTTGTAAAATTTGCAAGATAAGAGCCATTGCATCTCCTCATTAAAAGACATGGTTATATCACTTTTATATCACTAACTTTTTTCTTTTATGTATAAACAGAAGAGTTGAGAAATATGACTGTGTGAAATTATGAAGAGGACAGTTGGTAGAACTTTGCTATCACTTGCTATGTGGTAACATTAGAATGACTGACGTCATTAGATATATACATCAATGTGAGGATAAAGTAGCTTGATTTTTTTTTTTTTTTTTTAACATTTTATTCACTGGATTATTCAAAAGACATTCCTGTAGTATTTTTTAATTTAAGAATAGTTCCTTAAACACATTTCCAAAACATTTACTACATGATAACATACATTTCTAACCAGACCTAATTTTACATTCACTGATATAAAAGGTTTTGTCTGAACCTACCTGATCATGCAATGTGGCGTAGTGGCTATGGAATGAAGCGTGTTTATGAAAGCGTGGGAAGACCTAAAAGGTCAAGAAATCGAAAGGGTTTGATGTTCAAATGGAATGTTCTCGTTAGATTTAATATTGTGATTTAAAGAGGCTTTTATGGGAAAGACACAGAAAAACTTGTGTGTTCCTTTCCCTGTAAAAGTTTCTCTCTGTTGGACCATATTCTCCAAAAAGTCAGGAGATAACAAGGCAGAAAACCTTTTCCAAAACAGTCTTCAGAATTTACCTCTTGTTTTTAAAAGGTTTTAGACCTTCGTGATTCTCTTGTTTACATAAAAAAATCCTTTTTAAGATATTCTTTGGTATGTGTTTTGAACGAACATAGTTCTGGAGCAATGACAAGTCCACTTATTTTATTGCTAATGGCAACAGAGCCCCATCTAAAATTACCTCCATGAACTGAAGACAGACTGAGACCGTTGTTTACGAAACACAACACTCTGACTTTATTTTTCGTCTCCCACAGCTCCACACAGACAAGAAACAGATAAGCGTGGGTTTCATTGGCTACCCTAATGTGGGAAAGAGCTCAGTCATCAACACACTGCGGTCTAAGAAGGTCTGCAATGTGGCACCACTCGCTGGAGAAACAAAGGTAACATCGATGCATCATCTCAGCCACGCTGCAGGAGGCAGTCCTGTATAGCACACTACAATGATTATTAATGTCAGCTCTACAGGTTTGCATACATTGTGGTTTATATTAACACTGAAGACGTCTGGCAGTAGATTCAGATGAAAAACTGTGCAGTCCATCGCAACATAATGGACATTTGTCTGATGTAGCTCCAATGCCAAAACAGTAGAATACTGAAAGAAATGATCAGAGCAATAGTACATAAGCTCTCTGGTGTTTGAATCATATATGAAGCCAAAAGGAGGTTTGATTCAGTGGGAGGGGTCGGGAGGTCAAAAGATACATGTTACCTTTCTAAACTCAGTAATTGTTGATAGCTGCAACAACAGAAGTAGTCTGCTCCGTGTTCTTAACTATATAGCTGAAAATCTAAGTGGAGACAAGGCCAAGAGAAAGAACAACAACCATTTTTATCCTTAATTTCCTCTCTCTTGGGCTGCTTATCCTGTTTGGAAACGAACAAGGGTCTGAAAACCCAAATGTCAAAAGAAGGGTCAAGGGGAAAGAAAGGGGAAAATATATTTTACTTTTCCATGCTTGCGAAAGTTGTGAACTTGGACCACAACAGAAAGGAGATTTATATGCACACCTAACCATTGAATCTGATGGGCCTGTGGCCAGCACACTTTTTATTTCCCACCTTGTCTTTGATTCTCACCACACATTTGACGCTGTTTACTGACAGCCAAACAAGCTCATGATCCGCAGCACTGCTGTTACTCTCATTCCTCTATTTTTTGTAGACTGGATATGCATTTGTGTTTATGTGAATAGTTACTTTAAAATCTTTCTACCTGATGAACCAGTCATTTAAGTTTTTTTACTGGGAGAGAGAAAAGAAACTGAGATTGTGAATATAGTATTTGCTTTTCCCAAAGTTACATTTGTTTTACATTTTGCTGGCTGGCTCATCGTATTTGGCTCATCTTTTCATGTCAGTAAATAGTAACAAGTTGAAATAGATTTCACGTTGTGTGAAACGTTCACTTAACATTTGTCGTTTTCCATTTTAGGTGTGGCAGTACATCACTTTAATGAGGCGCATCTTCCTCATTGACTGCCCCGGTGTTGTGTACCCTTCAGAAGACAGTGAATCTGATATTGTCTTGAAAGGAGTGGTAAGTCTCTGTATCATTTTTTCCCGTTATCTGTTGAGGTTTTGTGATATCTGCCACAATACCAATACAACTTTTGCTCCTCATAGCAATGAAAAACAGTAGCATCTGGAAAAATTACCAGCAGTGGTTCTTTGCAGAAACACTGTTCAAGTTATTTCCAATTAATCCACCAACTGCTAATGTGGCATTTTTGACAGCTCCTGAGTAACTGGAGAGTAATGAACAAAGACTTTAAAGTGGATTGGTCTTCATAGTGCTAATGCCCAGCTGTTAAAACAATGCCTTGATCAGCTCCAATTCTGATCCTCAAGATCCTTTTTCCGGATCATAGATTTAACATGTAGGCCATGCAGTCTCCGTAACTGAAAGGTTGCAGGTTCATATCTTCAATTGCACGCTTTCTTCTTCCCTTTCCTAACATAGGTTCAAGTGGAGAAGATCAGGAACCCAGAGGAGCACATTGGGGCAGTACTGGAGCGGGCCAAACCAGAATACATTCAGAAGACCTACCGCATCCCTACTTGGGACTCTGCTGAAGACTTTCTTGAGAAGCTGGCATTTCGCTCTGGGAAACTTTTAAAGGTCTGAATGGTCCTTAACCAGGACCTTAACCAGCAATATGGCTTTGATGGCTTTCAGTTAAATAGCAAAGTGTATGTGGACCACTGGTTTTAAATCTTATTCCCGGTATTGTGCAGGGTGGTGAGCCAGATCTCTCTACGGTCTCCAAAATGGTGTTGAACGATTGGCAGAGAGGACGTATCCCCTTCTTTGTGAAACCCCCTGGACCTGAGGGGGATCAAGAGGTGATAGTTTACTGTATTTTCCACCTGTGTTTGTTCAGTAAATTACTTTTTTTTCTACACCAACCTGTGCCCTATGCGTCAACCAGTTTTTATTGTTATTTTTTAATACAAGGAGCTATTGCCAGTTGAAGGACCCTCAAAGGTAGCTGAGAATGTGCAGGAGGAACAGCCAGACAATCCGGGCGCCATGTCAGAGGAACATGAGGAACACCAGCAGCAGCAGCAGCAGAGACAGAAGGAGCAAGTACAGAAGATTCTGGCTAATGTGCGACAGAACTTTGGCAAGATTAATGTGGCACCTGAGTTCAGCGAAGAAGACTTGGTTCCCGTGGAGATGCCTGACCTGGACATGTCTGACTTCTCCGGCTCTGATGACGAGAAAGATAGTGAGGAAGAAGAGGATGGAGAGGAAGACAGGACCAGTGTTGGGCCAGCTGATGGAGGAACTGAGGACTCCGAACCCACTACAGTTCAGACTGGCAAAGCAGAAAACAGCAACAAGAGTTCACGCGAGGTAATCCGTGAGCTGGATGAGAAGATCACTAAATACAAGCAGTTCCTGGACCGGGCCAAATCCAAACGCTTTTCTGCGATCCGGTCAGTCTGCCCTCAACCAAACCTCACTTACTTATTTTCTTTGCCCTCATGTCTTTTATCCAGTGAAGTAAAATGAAGGTCCATGCTAACCAGCCTTTTATCTCCTGAGAACTAGCAGTGATAAGTTTGACTTTCTGATAAGTGTCCTGTTTCTATAACTTTTGCAGTCAAATGACAGTTGTATAGCTACAGTGAGATTATTTTAATTACTGTTCATTTCAGCAGTTCCTAACAAGAGTGACCTTTTTGCCTTGTTGAGTATTGATTTACTTTATTCTTCTCTTTGGACAGGATACCTAAGGCACTGTCTGACAAAGCGTTCACAGACATCAAGACTAAACAAGCGGCAGCAGCTGAGCAAGCACAAAAGAAAGGTAGTCATCAACATGTTCATCATGACTTTATTTGGTGCTGAATGCAGAAATTATTTTAGAAGATGTATCAGATTTGGTAAGAGACACAAGCATCAACTTTGTTAATCTTTGTTTGAATTCAGCTGCAAACCAGAGGAGCAAGAAGAGGAAAGCTGAGGAGGACGATGACTCCACCAAGCCGCACAGATTGACCTCTAAACAGGTATGCAGTGTTTGTTCTCTCTGATGTCAAACAGGCCAGTCTTTGAGTAGATACATTATATGAATGTCTAATCCTTTTTACTGATGTAACATAAATGAAGATCAAAGCCCTGGTGTTTTGCAGCAGAAAAATTCATTGTTTTCTCCCCCTCTGTTTCTCTTTGTTTGTCTCTACAGAGAAGAGCAATGGATCGTGCTAAGAGGACGAAGAAAGTTGGCGTGCGCTATTACGAAACACACAATGTGAAAAACAAGAACAAGAACAGAAAGGCCCCAGCATCAGCCACAGAGGGCCAAAAGGCCAAAAGATCAAAGCAGTAGACTCCCGTTATAAAACACAACACATGTAATAAATCTTTGTTTAAATTGGCCAAAAAGGCCATGTTTTTATTGAAAATGCAGAGTTGATAAAAGGTGGAATGCTAACTGAGTGTTAAATGGTCCTTGTTAAGTGGCCACTTGATGCCTTATCGTGACCTTAACTGTCCCTCAGGAAAGTGACTATCTTGCCTTTTCAACTTTCTTTTCCTTTCAGCCCCTTTCTTTTTTTGAGTGACATTTCATTCAACATTTACTAATGTAATGCTCTCTTGACGTTCAAGAGAAATGTATAGTAATTGTTTGAATTGTACTTGTCATGTCACACTGTTAAAGAAAAATTAAATATTTGCTAATTACACACAGTGAAGTTTACATGAATTGATTTCATTGACAAACAAGACAAAGGACAAAGTAACATTTTGTACTTGGAAATGGCAACTCAGTTTTTGCTTGTTCCAGTTATTTCTTTGGTGCAATGATTCCTTCCAGTTGGGTCTGAAAAGAAAGACAAATACGCTCATACAAATCTTGGGACAGACATAGTTACTATTGATGCTTGATCTTAAGAGGACATTTTTCTTAAGCATGTAACTATGAAACCTCACCTTGAGTTGCTGATAGCTTTTCTTCAGGGCCTGTACCTCCTCTGCGTGCTTCTTTTCCTCCAGCTGTCGCCTTTCATTTTCTCTCTTTTCAATTGCATCGCATTTAGCTTTCTGTTCGTTCAGTTGGTCCTTCAGGGCTTGTTTCTCAGTCTCCAGATCAGAAATCTAGATATGTAATAAAACACTTGTAAATTAGTTAGACACAAGGAAGTATCAATTCTGCAAAGTGTACTGCCACCATCCTTACTTTACTCTAATAGAGAAATGGTGCTCTCTGCTGGACACCCAATTGAAAAACAATTGTACACTTGTACTCCCATAGTTTTAAAGGACTGGCAAATTAAATCTCTCAATTAACTATAAATGTCAGTGTTGGCTTTTCAGGTTATCGTTCCTCTGTATTTGTAATCCATAACAAATAACATAAATAATTCAATGCCCTTACTCTTTCTTCCATGTCAGCCTTTCCCAGCTCAGCCTGCAGTGCCTTCCTCATGCCAAACGCCACGCTGCTTTCATACAGTGTCTGGTAGGCAGCAATAGTCATTTGAATCTCGTCTCTAACCCGCAACAGCAGCAGACCCCTCTCAGCACAGTTAATGGTCACCTGTCGGATCAGCTCATCTTCAAGTAATAGAAAGAGAAAGAGGATAATAAGAGTTGAGTTTCTGTTGTCGTGGGTGAAAATGTGCCTATTAAAGAAAAAAATCTAGACATTGGCATCTCAACACTAGCTATAATCCAGGCCATTTAGCTATTTATGTCTCTTCCATTATTGTAGCTACAGTGACCTCAGTGATCACCAGCATCTCAGACTCCTCTTTACCAAAGCACTGAGAATAGAGCTCCCTGCGGACAGGACAGATTCCTGTTTCTCTGGCCTGTCTTTGCTGCAGCTTCATGTCTAAGAGTTCCTCAAGATGCACAACATCTGTTCTTGTGCAAGGTGCACTGGACACTTGCTGCACCCACAGTTGGTTCCCCTCCGTCCATTCCCTGCAACAGCAGAAATTGAGATAGATGACAAAGTGGGTTAAACCTGCTGAGCAATATACTGTAGATGGGGGAAACTATACCTGGGTGGAAGGATAGCATTCAGGATCTCCTCATTTTCCTGCCTGGTGGCCTCAGTGGAGGCGGATTTGGATTTAGGAGGTGGTGGAACAGGGCCTGAGTCAACAGGCTGCTGAGGGCTCACTCTCAAAGGGCGCCCCTGTGGTGAAGTGTTTAATGTGAGACATGGTGTGTACTTTATGTAACCTATCCTAATTAAATACTTCTAAAATAGCTGATACCTTTAATTAGCTGTAATTTCAATGCTTGAACCATTTGCAGTCAAAGTGTTAGTTTTTTTTCTTTTTAGACCTGCCATTGTTTTTGTGTAAGCATTTCAAGAGTTAACATTTGACACTTTGATGCTTGTTGCTGTAGAACACCAAGGGGAAGGTTTTCTAAATGAATATATTTCATTTAATGAATATCATTGATTCAGGTCTAACATTAAAATATTTCAGGCAGGTGTTAATTAGACAAATGAATACAACCTTTGTGGCTTGCCACCCCTTAAATTGAAGTAAAACCTGCCAGGGACTCATGTCTACCAGTTGTGACCATTGTGCAGCAAGACCTCAAACAGAGTCATGAAGAACTAGAAGATCTGGCCCTCACAGACCCTTGATCTCTAGAGTCAGTCTGGGATTACATGATGAGACAGAAGATACTGAGACGGTCTAAATCCACAGAAGAACTGTGGCAAGTTACCTGCCTGCTAAGTATCTTGAAAAACTGTGAGTGCACACAGCATTTTTTCACCAGTGCCTAAACCTTTTGCGCAGGACTGTATATATTTGAAACACACACACACACACACACACACACACACGTCAGCGATAGTAAAAAATAAAATAAAATAAATAAATAAATAAAGATACACATGTCAAGCTGTTCTTTCCTGGCATACATGGCACACATCAGCATACATCTAGCTTGTAAATAATATATTCTTTTCTCATTTTTACTCATTATCTGTTTTTCTACGCCTCTGCCTGGAACTGCTTCAATCCTCCATCCGACGGTACCTAGGTAACGTTCACTAAACTTGGCTGGCGTTGCTGGCAAACTCACCTTTGGTGATTTCCTGTCTGTGCTTTTGCTGACCAAAACTGGAGTGTTGTATTTCAGGAGAGATTCGGTCGGTGGAAGCATTGTGTTTTACCATTAAATAATAATGATAAAGCTGTTCACTAAAATCAGAAGCTTCTAGGTATGGGCTTCAGTTGGAGAAATATTGGTGCTGTTGACAAAAAGTTAGAGCTGTTTGCGTTCTCATGGCAACAGTTCCCCGGCGCTCCACTATAGTTTGCCCGAGTGGAATCCGCGATGCAGTTAATAATATCCTTTGTCAAATATACATATTAATCATATATATTTAATTGGAACGACATAAGAAGACAGTTGAAGCACTTTTGGGTTTGTACTTGCTGTAATTTTAATTTTTAGGTAATTTTACGTGCATCTCACAAAGTGCTTTGTGTGTTTTAAGGCACATATTCGTTCTATATTTTTTTTTTATTATCCTTCCTATCTTTTTTCTCGTTAAACAACGTGGATTTTTTTAAAGATGAGACGGAATCATGACGGAACCAATATGAAAAGTGGACAGCGACCATCCGACATAAATTCTCGGCGTACCACACGAAGCGGAAGTGCGTGACTGATTACAATAGTCGAAGTTTGTTATCGCTACAGTTTGACTTTTGCTCTGTTGTTATATACTTTTGTGAGGTCGGCGATGTGTGTTTAGTCACATTAACCGTTGACTTTGTGTAATTATTTTGGAATGGCCAAAGAAAAGCGACACAGGAGAAGGGAATCTCCCGAGCGGGAGTCTAAAGTTAAGATAAAGCAGGAGAAGCTTAGCCCTGTTAGGCCACAGACATCACGCCGCTCCAGGTCGAGATCCAGCGGCAACTCAAGTCCACAGAGGAGAAGAACAAGCAGGTATATACAATACGGTCGCTATTGCCACGTGTTTTGTGCTATTTAACTTGTCGGATGTTCACAAGTGAGTCAATATTAGCGACCATAGTTGTTTCGTCCGTTAGCCTTTTGACATACACGGCTACAGCCAGGACTATTTGCATTTTAACGGAATCAGTTTTTGTTTTGAAGATGGGCGTTATGTAAGGGGTCTTAATGTGTTTTATGTAGGTCCCCTGCCAGGACAAAGGACCGCTCACCGGGCAGAAAAGAGACATCTCCCGCCAGACGAGGCAGCAGATCCCCCAGAAACAGGAGAAGTCGCAGTCCCCATCGCGGGGCTGATGTCAAAATAAAGCGGGTGATTAGGTTTTAAGTCATGTACAACAGGTCTTGATGAGACTTTTTTGGTGTGTCACCTAAAAAGTGTAGACCAGTTCATAGGCATTTTACATTATTCGTAATTGTTACCTCTCTTTGCTGCTGTCACTGTTGCTGCACTGACATGTGGTATTTTATTATGTAAGTATGCTACTTGTGTTTCACTGACAGATACCACTGCTCACTGGCGTAAACCCACTTGAGCACAGGTATTATAGTGGTTGTTGGTATCTAATGCTCAAACAAGTGGCATGTTGTGCAATAAAATTGTTAGTACCATTAAGTGCCAATTAATAAATACACACAAAACAATTTAATGGTTTTGTCAGTCAAACTTGATCTGAAACCCACACACTATGCTTGTTGTCTGCAGACTCAATATTTCGTGCCACCAAGATATTTTCTTACACAGAAGACACACGCATCTACAAGTATCATAATCTGATGATTATCAATTTTAAATGATAGTCCCACAGAACATTATAGCTGTCATTCTTGCCACGTTGAACAGCAGCGGCATAGTCAGCAGTGTCATAAGCTAGATACATCAATGGCATAAAAACTGCCACTTTTCAGTCTTATCAGTCCAATTGAATGTAATACAATACAATCTGAAATGGTAATGGTTGCATAAAAAAAACTATGCAAATTTATCTTGGGCTAATAAACTTTATTTCTTTTAACTGCCATATCTCACAGGAGCGAGATGAGCATCGAGCTGGTGGTGATGAGCGGAGGAGAAGAAATGACCAGCCAGAGGAGAGACGGAGCAGGTGGGAATCAGACAGACCACGGGAGAGAGACCGTGGCGGAGACAGACACAGAGAACGAGGCGCATTTGCTTCCCAACAAGCTGAGCGTCAGCAACACAATGAGCGGCGCAGGGAAAACCACCAGCGGCGCGAAGAAAACCAAGAAGATGCTTTTGGAGAGTCCGAAGGAGGGAGCAGTGACCCAAATGCTGCTCCCGTTGAGAAAGAGAAACCCAACTTTGAACTGTCAGGGGCGCTCACAGAAGATACCAACACATTCCGAGGGGTGGTGATCAAGTACAACGAGCCACCTGAGGCTCGCATTCCCAAGCGCAGATGGCGACTGTACCCTTTCAAGAATGATGAACCCCTTCCAGTCATGTACATTCACAGACAGAGTGCCTATTTGTTGGGGAGGCAGAGAAAAATTGCTGATATCCCCATTGACCATCCTTCCTGCTCCAAGCAACATGCGGTATTCCAATATAGGTAAGAATAACAATCATCAGCTGAGGTGTTTTTACTTTGGTATGTTCTAGAAATATTGATAACTTCAATCAGCATAATTTAGACAAAGTAGATTCAACCTATAGTAATCTTTGAACATTGTGTTGCATTATACTTAGTTTCTTGCTGTGTAAATAAACATGTCTACCATTACCTCTGCATTTTTCCAGACTGGTGGAGTTTAGGCGTGCAGATGGCACCACTGGCCGCAGGGTGAGGCCTTACATCATTGATCTGGGTTCTGGCAATGGCACCTACCTGAACAACCAGCGCATCGATGCCCAGCGCTATTATGAGCTCAAAGAAAAAGACGTACTAAAGTTTGGCTTCAGCAGCCGCGAGTACGTCCTCCTGCACGAGTTCTCAGACACAAGTGAGGTGGACGCCAAGCAGGAAGAGGAAGATGATGATGAGGGCCTTGATGAGTAAAATTGTTCCTATGAACTGTATTGCCTAAAGTTCATTCAGGGTTACAGACCATCATCACCAGTTTTCAATAAATAGCGGTTTCTGCAGTGAATGGAACAATTAATTACTGGTTAACTGGTAAATGTGGAACTTTATTAGAATAATGGAGCAGGGCTGGTTTGTGTATTTTGTAATTACTGAACTATTGCTTAAACCTGCCACAACGGTCTCAAGGAAGACTTCCTATTCTCAGGTTGTTTGTGCAATGTCTGTGTGATGCATGACTGATCTCTCAACTGACAGTGCTCACAATAAATAAAAAAAGAAGTGCTCAGTGCCAGATAAAGATATCTTGCTAAATACAATAGTTAATTTTATATTTTTGGATCACAGCACTGAGTACAAAGTATACCTGAAAACTTAATTTCTTGTCTAAGTCCAGGCTGCATATGTTAATGTACATGATAATGTGGAATGTGAACTTTAGATTCATGTTTAATAAGCATTGCTTTTTGTCAGAGTAAACATACATACATACAACTTTTAATGATATTGCCTTTTTTGCTTTGTAGTGCAGGGAAATAGTTGATGCTGTTGTGTGTAAGTAAAGACTCCCCTTTTTATTTTTGTCTGGTCACAGGCCCACGGCATTCATAGTAAATTTCCATTTTTGTACTGTAAATAAAGAAGAAAATTTCTGTTTTTGTCTTTGGAGTTTTAATGTGGACACCACGTGAGATGTGTGTATTTTGTGTGATTATTTGATTCTATCCCGCAGATTCTCAGGCTATTTGTTACGTGCATTTGTGTATCCACAACGTCAGTGTTCCTCAGAAATGTGATCCTGCAGCAGAGGTCACGCGAGAGTTCGGGCTGTGTGGCGTACAGTTTATAGTTGAGTGTCAGCGGGCGGGGCAGGAGACGAGGGCGTATCGAGTGGAGAGGAGTGCCGGGAATGTTAGTAAATGTGTGGTGCGAGCGACGCACCTGGGGAATTACCAGAACAAGTAACCGAGCTGTTGCATTTTTAATGGAAGTTGTCCCGATCGAGGACATGCGCTGAGTTTCAGCTGCGGATCAAAGCAGAAAATGTACACTACAGAGCGCAGGCGAATGAGCCTGCACGAGCTGAGGAGGAAAGATCCAGTGTGGGTGTCAGCTGGGAGTTTGTGGCAGGACACTCTGGCCATGGAGCTGAGCGCCAGCAGCTCGGGTAAACAGATCGTTTCTCCTCGGAGCCGGACCAGGGCAGTATCCGTGGCATACATTGTGAACGAGGACGCGTCGGTGCCGCAGACGGAGGAGAACTTGTCACTGAAGTGTCTGAAGGAAGCCTGCGCGGACGTACACGCCGTGTTCAAAACCATTTCATTTGAGAGAATATCACTGGGGACCACTGACATCCTGGATAATTTCTACAATGCAGGCAAGTTCAGGCATGCTGACTGAAGGGTAATTTGGATGACACATTACACGCGAGACATTGTCAGTTAGTCAAACTGACCCAGTTTTTCTTTACAATGTACCCAACAGATGTAGCAGTGGTTGAGATGAGTGACACTTTCTGCCAGCCTTCCCTCTTCTATCACCTTGGAGTGAGAGAAAGTTTCAGTATGACCAATAACATTATCCTGTACTGTTACAAGCAAGACAGTGATCTGCAGGCAGTCAAGGTAACACAGCAACAATCCGTTGTTTATTGTTATATGTAAACAGGGTCTGAATTATGATTGGATAAAAGTTCATTAGAGATTTTGAATATTTGTTTCAGAATGCACACTTCTCAAGTACAATGTGAACTGTAAGGGAAATTACCCGAGGCTTGTCCTGCATTATTAATTTACCCGAGGGCCCTATTTTGCAGCAGGCCCCTGCATTTTGGGCCCTCTACAATGCATGTACATAGGGGGTTGTGGTTGTCCTCTGGGCTTCAAATGTATTCTATTGTGTGAGCTGTACTTAATGGAAACAGGAGGTAATATGGGCACACAGTTTATTTCTGGCCCAGGGCGCTCCTGGCATGTCCACGTGGGCATAGCCACAAACAGTTTTCATTATTGATTAATATGATTTTTTTTCACTAATCAGTTAATTGTTAAGTCCACAAAATATCAGAAAATATTGAATAATACCCATCGCTTTTTCTCAGACCCAAAGGTGACATTTCAGATCTTTATTTTGTCTGACCACAGTGCAAAATCTAAATATATTTTCAAATTTACAATAATGTAAAAAAGAGGAAAGCAAATCTTCACAACTGTTTGACATTTTTGCTTTAAATGATTTAAATCCTTTATTAAAAAGTTGATCAAAGGTCCTATTTAAGAGAGATTTCATGAAGAAGGTATTATGTCAATGATGAAGGAAAGAATTGAAATCAAGAGCAAATCACATATATTTATCCAAGAATTTAACTGAAATGAAACATGAAGTATTAAAAGCAAGAAACTGTCAGATGCTTCAGCCCTACTGAGTGTGAATTTGTTATGATGCATGTGTTGTCTTCCTTCAGGAGCAGTGTGGAAGTTACACGTTCATCCCTTATGTCGTGTCACCGCAAGGTAAAGTGTTTGCCTGCGATGCCTCAATAATGACTGGGATCAAAGAGTTGATGCAGCCTAGTTTCCAGCTGGAGCCCCTGCTCACCCCGCTGGTGGAGAGGCTGGTGAATCTGCTGAACAATGTACACATTCAGTCCAGGTCAGGCACAAACTGCAGGGCTCTGTTCACCACCATGTGCTTTTTGCCAAATATAACATTATCATCTCAGATTACACGTGCATTTGCCTATGCTGTAACTCACAGTATTATGTTTGAGTTCACTTGGCTGATTTGCTAAAGATCGTGAAAGTGTGGGATGTTATGAACCCCTCTGCTCTTTATGCTGACAGCGAGTACTTCCGGGAGTCAATCAGGCACGAGATTCGTATGGCACGGGAGCGGTTCAGCGGACAGGCCCTGAGTGAAGAGCTGAGTCACATCCAGAAACGCCTCGACAGCGTGGAGCTGCTCACCCCTGATATAGTTATGAACCTGCTGTTGTCCTACAGGGACATTCAGGTGTGTATGTGGATATCTATGTGTGCATGCATCTGTGTGGCTAGGAGTAAAAGTAACCTGCAAGGAGTGTGCAATAGGCGTGGGGCTGCTAACATTGATTCTGTCTTTATTAATTAATCTTTCAATTATTTTTTCTAATATTGTGAAATTGTAGGTTTAAACATCGATTCTGTCTTTATTAATTAATCTAAAGAGTAGAGAAAAAAAAAAGCAAAAACATTTGAGAAGCTGGAACCTACAAATGCATTCTTACTTGGTAAATTACTCAGATCAATTGTTGATTATATGTTAGATCAACTAAACAACACTAGTACTAAATGTTTTAATACTTTAAACTAAACTAACATGTCATGAAATGTGAGCACTGTAAATAATAATTTGTAATTCTACACCCTCTTTTCTCAGGACTATGACTCCATAATCAAACTGGTGGAGACTCTGAACCACTTGCCCATGTGTGTGGTAGCAAGACATCAGAATATTCAGTTTCACTATATATTTGCTCTAAACAGGTACCCACATGGCTCCTTTTGGATCCGCGTTTTGTTTTATAAGTAAACATAATTAAACGATTGAAATCTCCTCCTATCTGGTTTCAGCTTAGTGTTTTTGTCCCATTATCATCCTGTAGCCTTTATTCATCTTGTGTGTATACAAGGATATAAAAGGTAGTTGCTAAAGCTGCATCATTGCTGATATTATCACATTTTTACCATGCCAGGAGGAATCACCCTGGAGATCGTGCTAAGGCTTTGAAGGCCATTTTGCCTATCGTGGAGTCGGGGAGCATGGTGGCATCTGATGTGTACTGCCTGTGTGGACGGATCTACAAAGATATGTTCATGAGCTCTGGGTTCACTGATCAGCGCAGCAGAGATCAGGCCTGCTACTGGTACGACCAGTTTGTGTGTGTGTGTGTGTGTGTGTGTGTGTGTTTAGTACTGCTCATGCAAAATATTCCACACCTAATGAGAAAGGAAGATTTTGACTGTCTTTTGTATTACAGTACGACGTCACTACGTACCTGTTTAATAGCTGCCTACTATGTGATTGTTGATTATACGTTGCATCATTATTCTGTTGTTAATTTTGTCCCGTCTGACAGTGCTGTGGTATATTCTATAAGTGTCATCGTTTTATTATTTCTTAGGTATGGAAAAGCTTTCGAGACAGAGCCAACGCTTCACTCGGGTATCAACAACGTGGTCCTCCTGATGGCAGCCGGACATGAATTTGACACTTCTATTGAGCTGCGCAAAATAGGTGCTTTATGTTTCCTGCCTCATTTATTAGAGAGATTTGATGACAATTAACATTGCTTTGATGATCTGGAGGCAATACAGCTTTATAGTCTGCAGATTCAGTGTGTCATAAAGTTTATTATACTTAAAGGATAACTCTGAGTTTTTTTTTAACCCAGTCCTTATTTTCCCTTGGTTTACCATTGAGCAAGAACCATATACCTGGAACCGTTAAAACATCTACTGCAGTGTAATCAAATGGTGCATCTGTCCGCGTCAAAGTCCGTCCTCTAAAAATGCATGTTTTTGCCACCCACAGATTCACATTGTTATTGTAAGTGTCTGACAACATTGTGGATAGGACACCTACAGACATATACTTTTTTGTTAAAAGAGTACGATCCTTTTTGTTTAACTGGAAACAGCCAATTTACCGCTCTGTTCAAAGCCACAAGAATCCATTGACAAAAACAGTCATTTTACCTCACAGAACGCAGGAGTTTCTGGCGTACCGCTGCCTTGATCGGTTAGTTTGTTTGTGTTATTGTGTGGCACGTTTACTTGGGTAAAGGATCTGAATACTTCTTCCAACACGCAAGTCACACGCAGTGTATTTCTCCATATGCATTTAACAATACACATCATGATATGTTCCTTCGACTGATGCAGATATGTAATAGTCTTTAGCACTGGTTCTTCAATTAGAATCAATGTAGTGTTACATTTCTAATGGTTGACACATAGTATGTATACACATAATAATAGCCTCATATTGCTGCATTGTTCATACTCTGTATTAACACCCTGCAACTCGAATGAGCTGATAGCTGTGCACAGGTTCATCATGTTAATGCAGGTATTCATTTGAAAATGTATAAATACATTTTTAAAATTAATTTGGTCCATGAATTGTTTTGTGCTGTGTTGATATGTTGCTATTTAGGTGTGACCTTAAGCAGCCTTCTCGGTAGGAAGGGTAGCTTGGAGAAGATGAGGGATTACTGGGATGTCGGCTTCTACCTCGGCGCAAACATTTTAGCTAACGAGCACAGGAAAGTCATCGAGGCCTCGGAGAAACTCTACAGGCTCAAGGCTCCTATCTGGTGAGGCTTCACCACCAGTTCTTGATTAATAGTAATAATCATGCAGATCAAGGTGCTTAATCGCCATCGGGACTCAGTTTTTGGAGCATGTTATTCTAATTTCATTGCTTTGATTAAAAAAGAAATCTCTGTGCATTAGAAAGCATTTAGAGGGAATCCTGCTTTTTTTTCCATATTCATTTTCTGTGGATTCATGACTTCAGCGTCTTTCTTTCAGGTATGTTGCATCTATTATGGAGACATACATCCTGTACCGACAGTTTGTTAAGCTGTCTGAGGTGGTATCTCCTAAAC